TAGTTTGAAGTTTATAAAGAAATTTAGTATTGAAACTATTAAAGGAATAAATACTTTATACACGTTTCTGTTTATTTTATAGCTTAAAAATTCAGAGAATAATAGCAGTTTACATTTTTCATGAATTTTTATTGAACACTCGTTAATACAAGATAAAGTTTGATTTTCAACCTGTTTTTTATTTTGTTTAACCTTTGTATTTTCAGTAAATAATTGAATGAAAAAATATTATATCTTAATAAAAAATAAAATATAATAAAATACTTTATAAAAAAACAGTTTACTCAGTTTTTTTACAAGAAACAGTTTTTATAAAAAAAGTGTTTCTTGTAGAAATGGTTAAAGAAAATCACTTATTTTACACATGGGAAATAGGTTATAGTATACGATTTATATCTGAGAAACTTTATCCTAAGATGAAAGAAGCAATTTAATTTAGGTGTTAATTTAAAAGTAATTTGATTGAGCTCCTTTGATGTCCTTTACAAACTGACTGTTGCGTAATGACTATATTGATAAAACTAAGGAATTAGCCCGGTTTCCATCATAAACAAAGGAAAATATTACGCAAAATTTACACTATATATATATATATATATATATATATATATATATATATATATATATATATATATATATATATATATATATATATATATATATATATATATATATATATATATATATATATATATATATATATATATATATATGTATATATAAATATATATTTAGGTGTACCCGAATAATTTCCTGGATTTGCCCCTGCTAGTGGTAATGACTAGCTGTGACAAATCCAGGGGCAAAAGAGTTAACAAAGCTACGTAAATTTTAAAATTAAATTTAAATAAAAAAAAAACTGATGAGCTGTCACAAACCTTTATTGAAAACTTACAGCCCTCTGTACCAGTTGTATCTCCTGAGGTGATTAGACTATTTTAAAAAGCACCTCAAAGATTTTTCTTTAGTCTAATGTGCATCATCTGTTAGCAACTCAACGTTGGCTTTTGTTTGCAGAATTGAAGAAATAAATTAAAGAAATTTTAGTTGTTCATTTGTTGAAGAAAAAAGTAGGATTTAACATTTTTTACTTTTCTGATTTACAAAATGTTAATTGCAAAAGTCTTAACAAAAATCCTATATTAAACAATGCAGGAAACATGTCATGAATTTCTGGTATGACATTCAAATTTGATATTTTCCATATTCAAACTTGATTGAATGTTATGAAATTTGTTCTTTCAGTTGGACAACAAAAAAAATTTCATTTTCATCTATATCAGTTTTACATTACTATTCTTTATTATTTTATAAGATTGAGCCGGTAATAAATGCTGTACGCATGCAATGTTTAAAAGTTGAACCTGAAATATCACATTCAGTAGATCAACAGATTATTCCATTATTTAATACCTTGTCATTATCAGAGCTTTCGTCAGGTGGCTCAAATAAATGCTGAATGAGATTAGTAGCAAGCAGGATCGGACTGGCCAGGAAGGTTGGGGATTCCCCCGGGCCTCTGCCATGCCTGAAAATCCTGGGCCCCTCTATAAATTAAACAATAGATATGGAAGTTATTAAAAAAAAAGGTAAAGCAGCCTTTTTTATTATTTATTAGTTGTAGAGTAAATTATCTTGAGTGGGAGACTAAAATATTAATTTATGACAAAAAAACATTAAACTTCATGCTTTGATTAAGTCATGTATACGTATTTTATATATGCCCCGGGCTTATGATAAATATATACGTAATACATACGCGCAAAATAACCTAGTGATGACGGATTCAACAAGTTGCACTATGCATTCTAAGAGCATCTCTTGGTTACTAGTTACTCTTGGTTACTCTTAGTAACATCTGTTTTCATGAAACATTTAAGTAAAAGAATATATATACATAATGATACATAATGAACATCAAAAGATAAAGTTCTTAAAGGTGTAATGGGAAGTTATTCTTCGTTGCTAGCAAGTTGATTTGTACTTCTAATTCATGTATTACACCCCTTTGCTTCATGGAATGAATTTGAGACCAAAGTTGCTTACGAGTTTTTGAGTATGAAAAAGTGGATGAAATTTGAAACGGTATCAACTGCAATTATTTCTTTATAGATTTTCAATATATGCTCACCTGTTTCAAAATATTTACAAACAGATGGCTTGGAATTTTAGTTGTCATTAAGATGGTAGAAACCACTTTAAACCGCCTCATTGCAGTCCGTTAAAATTTCCTGATATCCTCATGAAAGCTGAATTATTAGCAAGATTGGCTAATAATATCATACCTGAAGCTAACAAAGACATCGAAGAAACTATTGAAAATGAGCTCCCATAAAAAATAGCTGGACAAAAAAAAGTAGATGCCTTGTAAAAATACGAATGATGAAAGCAGGCAAGAATTTTAGAACTCAGCAAGGCGTTTTAAGGGTAATGTATACTATGTTATTGTGGATACTGCCACTACAGAATCAAAGACCGATTCAAACGAAATGATTTTGGTATCTTAAGTGATATTGCTTGTCTGGATCCTCAGAACTTTCAATCTTTGCATGACCATATTGACGACTATACTTTTCATTAGCCAATTTCGCTGGTATACAAAGGGAAAAACTGTGCACAGAGATGACATCATTTGCTACTAATTTCTCATTAGTTAGTAAGGCTGATGAAACTGAATCAGAAAAATGCTCCTCCGGAAAAGACTGCAAACAGATGTTTGAGTTACGTTCTTTGTTTTCTCCATCGCTACAATTTACATTGTTTTACATATTCTAATATAAATGTTGCATTTAAAATGGCTTTGTGTCTCTCTTGCACACAAGTCAAGTTGTGAGCAAGCTTTTTTGAAGCTGAAGATTGTAAAAAGTTGCCTTTGCAGTCTTTTAGGTGAAGAGCACCTCAAATCACTTATTTTAATGAATGTTGAGAGTGACGTAAAAATTGATTACGATAAAGTAATCAATTTTTACGTCATTCTCAAAGTAAATAGGCAAAATTGTCAAAACTTCTTACTGATTACTTTCTATAATATAATACTGCAAATTCATACCTTTTTCTTATATTTTGATTATTATTTCCCATGTAAATAGTTGAAAAACTTTAAAATAAACTTGAATTTTTCCTAATACTGATAAAGTTATTGGGAAAAACCATTTTAAAATGGCAATAATGTCCAGAAAATATAATGGTGCGACGCTGCAATTTAGAAATACTATGTTTTTAATACATTGTTTTTCCTTGCACATGGATTTATTTTTTCAATCGTGCTGAAAAAGTTAATGGATGGAGTACATGGTCAAAAATATAGAAATTTTCATGCACATTATTATAAATGTCTTATACCCTTGTAATAAAAAAACTATTTGATTAACGGAACAATTTATTTTCGCTAAATATTTTTCTACCATGAAGGCCCATCTATATCTAACCCCCTGGGCTCTATTAAGCCTGTCCGATCCTGGTAGCTAGATTAGTAATCGTGTTTTTTAAATCTTGTTTCCAAGTTAGTCATCTTTGTTTAAGACGTTCTAATTTGACAAGTGCTTCATAATATGAACTTAATGAATGTTTAATAATTCTATATTCAAATGTTTAACAAGTTGACTTATAGGTTATTAGCTTCATGAAGTATTTCTTAACGAGTTTAGTTTGCCGTGCCCTCAAATTAAAATCTAAAAAAAGCTAGTGGGTGAAGAGTATTATGCCCGAGGGTAAAATAGCTTTTACTATTAGATATTTATACCTAATAATGTCACTATATTCTATCAAATAAAAAAAATATTTTATTATTTTTGTCACAAAAGTTGTATAAGTTTAAGTTAAAGTTTGACTGAATTTTGATAAATATAAAATCTACATACACAATAGTGATGTTTTACATGTTTCTAAGTTTTTCTCAGAGAAATCTTGTAAAGTAGTTTGCAAATCCTGTTATATTTCTTGACTTTCAATTGACATGATCTTTAAACTGTTTAATCTATCCTGAGTTATTGTTGATTTTGGATAACTTTTTAAAAGTTTAATCTAGAAAATAATCTCTCTCCAGAAGTAACACTCACTGGAATTGTTAAATATACGTGGAGGACAATTAATAGGTTTAAAAATGCCGTAGCTCTGTCATTCTCAGATAAAAATTGAAACATTTTTTATGGTTTTTCGGAGCATTTTGATAAAAGAATATTTTTTTTAATTCGCATTTTAAAGGTCTCCGCGGGGTCCTTTTCAGCGCGGAGTTTAAAGTAACTGCGTCACTTTTTATCCAGCCCTGACTACTAGAGTGCATTAGGGATCGTCTATAAAGTACGTAGGCTCAGATGGGGGAAAAGGGGGTCTGCATATGACGTTTATGAGATGGGGGGCAAGAGGTCAATTATAAAAGTATAGAGACACTAATTTAAAAAAAATATCATAAAATGTTGGGTAGGTAGGTTAAAAGCGTAGGTACTTTTAGGAAGGTGGAGGGTACTCAAAAAGGTGTAACACGAAATGTGAAGGAGGAGGGGAGGGGGAGGTCAAAATAAAAAAGTACGTACTTTATGGACGAGCCCTTGATGTAACGGTTTTAAACATAATTTAACAAATGCTTTCGAGGCTTTTACTTGGATGTTTTTTAGTAAAAAAAAAAAAAAAATCTAAAATGAATTGTTTTTTCATAGTTTCACCTTAAAAAAAAAGATTAAATGTCATTTAAATTTTATTTGTCAAAAACTATCAATATTTAAAAAAAAGCTACAAGTAAATATTTATTATTACCAGTTAACTGTCGCTTTATTTTGATTGACATGACAGATTTTTTGTTTTTTTAAGAGTTTAAGCATTTCAATAAAAAATTAATAAAATATTTTTAAATCTTCAGGAAATAGTCACGAATGTAATTAACATACACGAATGTCTCAAATTTGAATCTAGCGTAATTTTATTTTTAACTTTAAATAGATTAAATTAAGTACAGCTGTCCATAATAAAATAATTTTTTAACGTTAAATGTATAAAATTTCAAGTTAATGTTTTTACAAACTTTATTGAAAAAATTTCAATATAAAATTCACAAATAAATATAATTTACAACTGACGTTTACAAAATATATAGTTTTTACATATTTATTGGTAACTTCTTTATACTGTGCAGACATAATTCTTCAAGTAAAAAAGGAAACTGTAATACAGTTCGAATATATTAGGAATTGTTAATGGAACAATTCAAACACATTTGGAATTGTTAATAAATGCAATCAAAATGATTTAAATATATGAAGTTTTAACAGATTTCGATTTAAAACTATCTGATGGTGAAATTAATTATTTTTATTTTTTGGATTGGTTGAAATGGTTTCAGTAAAAAACTAAGCCAATCGACTGAATCTAGTAGACAGTTTTTACTATTGTTATTGAATGTATTGTTCAAAAGTCTTTTTTTGTAAAACATAACTTTTTATAAACAGTTTTATAAATGTGTTAGCAGCGACCACTTACAGCAAACACTTACAACGAGTTTTATAGCTGTGATATTTTTGCAACTAATTTTGGCGAAGCACGCACAATATTATTATTGTCAAATGGAAGCTCGTGAATTGCCAGTGGATTATAAAATACTGCAGACGAGCATTCAGAAGAAATTTCATGCATGTTAAATTGAGGGGGTATTAAATAGTTAGGAGATGGTTGACTTAAAGTGTTTCTTCTTGTTGAATTTGATATAGCACGACCACGCATTCCAATTAGTAATTTAAAAGCAGATCTCAGTTGTCTGCTTGTATACGCGTAGACTATTGGATTAAGTACAGTGTTGGATACAGCAAAAAATAGTGTTAGTCTTGTAATGCGAATGCTTTTTCTTTCATCCTCAAAATTACCTACCGAGTACTCTCCAATAACTACGGATAGAAGCCAGTATGTAGCAAAAGGTGACCAGCAAATTAAATAAATTAGCACAAGAACACCTAGCAGCTTTAGGGCTCGTCTTTTTAGTATAATACTGCTTTCTGATGCAACTGAGTTATTTTTCTTTCTATTTTTACTTAATCGACCTTTGAACCATAGAGTATATAAACTGGTGAAGTACGTAAACGAGAGAGAAGATAAAGGCAGAAACACGCCTAAAAGTCCTGTAAAAATAAAGTAAGTTAGTGGGTTAACACCACTTGCCCAATTTCTTATGCATAGCTTTAGATCTTCATTGTATTTAAATGATAAAACGTTTGGTATAAGAAGTACCAGACTCAATGCCCAAGATAATCCAAATACCCATTTCATATGTTTAAACCCGAGTTTCCAAGTTACCTTCATTGGATGGTTTATACCCAAATATCTGCTTATAGAAAGCACACTTAAAGTTATTAATGAAACAGTGGCTGCGGCAAAGAAACCATACAAACCTTCTGTAAACCCACATAACACATCTGCTGCAGTACCTCGTATGCTTGTCTCAGACAAGTTAAAGTAAATAAAGGGGTACATGCTTAAACATGCAATTATGTCTGAAATTGCTAGGTTCAAAATTAGCAAATTGACAATAGTTCTAAGATAACGATTGCGAATAATAAGGTAAGAAACGATGCAATTTGATATTATGCCTAAAATAAATAAAAAAAAAAAAATTATTTATATTATACCTAAAATAAAAAAAATTAGAATTAAATTAATTGACTTATTTCTTTTTCAAATAACCTATAAAAAAAATTATTTTTCTAACAAAAATGGTCTAAATTTTAATAATATTTATTATAAAGCATTTTGTACACTAAAACTTTATCAAGTTTATTGATTTAGTTTTAGGGTATTAAAACTTCAGAAGCAAAAAAAATTCAATTTAATAAGTTTTATCGAAAGATTTGGGTTTTTTCTATCGGAAACATCTATACTATCACCTATCGGAACAACCTATACTATTACCTATCGGAACCACCTATACTATCACCTATTGGAACCACCTATACTATATACTGCTATATATTGGCTATATACGACATATATATATATATATTGAAATTTTAATATCTATTATTTTTAAAATTTCAATATATATATATTGAAATTTTAAAAATAATAGATATTTTTATTGTAAAAGACAATATATCTTTATATTGTAAAAGGCTTCGTGATAAGATATAACCCTCTTGAAGTCCTGCCCATTCTATATTATAAATTATCAATCTTATCAAAATATAGTATTTTATACAGCAAAAAAAATATGTAAAAGATAAAATAAAAATCACAAAAAAACACAAAAAAATGTACACTATAAACGACATCAAATTTGGGGGTAAACCACAAACTAGTCAAGATATATACAATCAAATTGTTTTATTCATAAGATCAAATCATTTAAAATTTAATTTAAAAAAAGTTGGTATAGCACAACCACTTATTTAAGTTATTTAAATTTAAAATTTAAATCATAAATTAAACGAGTAATATAAACACAAAAACTTTACACTTTAGTTTACTTTTTGAAAACCCTGTTTGTTAGCACAATGTACAAGATTTGTAAACACTTCAGACACGGCACCTTTGAAACAATTTGAAAACGGAACAAAGCTAAAGTAAGTTTACCAACTGAACGTTCTTTTGATTATTGACAACAGGGGCAAGATGGGTATTGGGAGACTACTATTTCTATAGCGGCTCAACAAAAAAATAGTAAACGGCAGCAAACAAATTTGCATATATAGCTCTTTTTTTTTTTTGCTAATTAATTTTTTTAGTTTTTTTCAAAGCTTTGGTTTTTGAATCAAAATTAATATATTACTATTGTATTGATTTTTTTTTGCTTTTGTTTTTTCTTTTTACGGTTATATATATATATATATATAATATATATATATATATATATATATATATATATATATATATATATATATATATATATATATATATATATATATATATATATATATATATATATAATACAAGGTAAAGAGGATATCTATACATTACAAGGTAAGAGGATATCTTTACATAAAATTTTGTATTGAAATTTACCAATAAACTAAATCATGAAAAAAAAAAAAAAGCCTAAATAAGATAAAATAAATAAATTATGTGTATAAAATATATAACGAAACATTGGTTTCCAAAAGAAAGTCGTGACGTAAACCTTGTCAGTCTATGCATATTCGCGACGTTGTGTTTCGAGAGCCTCTCACTTTTTTGTTGAAATTATTGATCTCTTTTTTTAAAGTATTTTTATTGTTCCATGCAAGATTAACATTAAATGTTTTTTTATTGCTGAATTTTCCCATTTTCCTTCGTATGTATTTTTTTTATATCGCAAAATACGAAATGAGATTTGTAGTTTAATTTTTTCTTAATAACAACATAAAAATATTCAGTACACAAAGAGAAATAAGTACACAATGGAAAACCTTTTTATTATTATTAAGTTATTAAAGTGCTCTAAGAAGACCAACTGGCCTTGTCACCTAGCACTGCATAGCAGCATTAAATCAGGAAGTTCACATTTATTAGGCTAGAGCCGGCGTCGAACCACGAACCTCTTGATTCTGAGTCAGAACTATTAGCACTGCTTTATCTTTACCGTGGATTCTAGGAATTAGCCTGTTAAAAGAAGTTTTCAAAAAAGCAGATGCACATCTGTTGATTTTACACATAGTAATATTTAATTAAAATCACGAAAAAATTTTCAGCATATACTTACCTCAAACATTAAACATCCTCTTTCTATAAATTTTTATCCAGGTGTGTAGAAATTTGAATGCTCCTGCAAAAAATGTTGTACCGGTGAAACAAAATTAAACTCTTAACTTGAATTTACCAACAAGAAAAAAAATGCATACAATGGAAAATGGGAAAATTCAGCAAAAACGGAACATTCAAAAAATTGCCACGGTAATTTTGCATGGAAAAATTAAAAATACTCTCAAAATAGTGGTCGATAATTGCAACAAAAAGACTTGAAATACAACGCCATGACAACATTCGCTCACGATGAGATAATGACGCTCACAACGACTTCGTTCCGTCATTCTGATTACGTCACGAGTGGTTACGAAGGACGTCACAACTTCCTTTCGGAAACTGTTTCGATTACTGCATCAAATTAAACTATTAGATTAAATTGTTTTTGTTTTGTTTTAACGGCTTCTTTTAAATATATTTAATAGTTTTTGCAATAATTTAATATATACTTGATAACGAGGGTATCTGTACTATTCAGAAATTTGTGGTGGGGAAGGCGGGTAGTAAAGCTGAAATAAAAAAAAGCTCCTAAAATTTACAAAAAGGCCTTTAAATTTATATTAAAAAAATCTGGTGGTGGAGGATGTATACCAACATATCCCCTCCTGGATCCTTCACTGTCATAAAAAAATCAATTTAAAAATAAAGAATTAAATCCATAGAAAAGTTTTCGATTTAACAATATAACTTAAACTTTTTGAAGATGTCTAAAATTAAAATTCAAAATTTATTTTGGCAGTATAGTGTTTTCTATTTATTTAAAAAATATATAGTAGTAATTATGTAACTATGTAAATTATTTCCTTAGTTTCATAAAAGCATTATCATAATTATTTTTATACAGTTTAAATAATGTAACATTTTACAAATTAAAAAAATTAAAAGAATATCGTATTATTATTTTTCAATAAATACGCTCATTATGATGCCACTCATATGATTAGACTAAACTCATATAGTCTTGTTGCTAGTGACGGATCCAGCGGAGGGGGGAAGGAAGGAGATGAGGGTTATGCATCCCCACTCTCCACCAGAACCTTAAAGTCCTAAAATATCTTAGAAATAGATGACCATTTTTTAAAATATTTTTTTAAGGAGACAATTGTGATTTAAAATAACATAAAATATTTTAACAAATAAATTCAAACTTTGGTCTACACTGTTTACCAGCTGGTTTTTAGCTTATTTGTTAAAATAATCTACAAAGCAGCATAAAAAATAAAAGTAAGATTGACTAAAAAAGTTATATATCAAAACTTGTTTCACTCTTAAAGCATAATCAAACGGTAAATAATAACACTTTCAGTAAAGAAAAACTAAATACCGTGCCCTTCTTAAAAAAAAAATAAACCATGCAAAATTTCTTAGAAAACTATCATTCATATCAGACTTAATGCCAAACGTTTGGAAAGAAGCAAATTTGTTATTAATATATATAAAAAAAAAAGGTTAACAAAAAATCAATTGCAAATATAGGCCAGTATCTTTAACAACCATAATATGTAAAATCATGAATAGACTGATGAAAAGATCAATACAATTTAATCTTAAAACATCAACATGGTTTTGTGAGGAAAAAGCCAAGTGTTACAAATATACTAGAAATAATAGATCACAACATAAGTACATAACTGAAAACTCTAACTTATTATATTATAACTATATTTTTTTAAAAGCTATCAACAAAATTTTTCATAAAGTGCGAATCCTTTCAAACTGCCTTGTGCTTTTTAAAAAATAAAAAAATATCCTCAAAACTCAAAATCTACCGACTGAAATGTGGCAAACTTCAACTTAGCAACAATATAACTGAAAAAATCAACTATAAGTTGAAAATTGTTTGATTTGGGTACATGTAACACCGCTCATACACCCAATCACAAAAACTCATGCTTTAAAATCTTTATAGCAGATTTTTGAGTCAACACCTTGAGTATGGCAAGTCTACGCAAGCTCCTAACAAGTTTCTTTTTTATTATTAGTCTATTTCTACTAATAGTATCGGAGCGATAAAATGTGTCAAATGTTTTAACTTTAGTAAAGTATTTTACAATATCACTTGGACCCAGTAGCCTTGGCACTGTTGACAATATAGTTATAAAAATCATTTGAGTCACTGATATAAAGTAAAACTTAAAATTAAAAACAGTATTTTATGGCCTTCTTATAAAAGATTTATTTTTATACTTCCTTTAAAAAAATGTTATTTCCAAGGATTATCTATAAATAGATGATCCTTGGAAATAACATTTTTTCAATTTTTGTCACTCTGTAGTTAGTAGTCTCTTTTGATAGCTGTTTTTAAATAGCATAAATAAAAAATATGTTATAGCTATTTTTGTTTTTTATCACATATCTTCACGAAAACAATTCGCGCACATAATGCAAACATTCACCCAAACAAACATCCACACACAAATGCACGATTTCTAAGCTTGACAATTAGGTTGCTATGATACTTGGAATATGATTATATTGTCTATTAAAGTTCTTTAACCACTACAAAAAGAAGATCCAGATGTAGTAATTTTTGATACAACACTTTCAGGTATTAAAAAATCTCGAAACTTATGTCGGTTTATGCTTATATCAAATAAGAATATTTAACAAAAATTTACGGTGATTGAAGCCTAGGAACAAAAGTACCTAAAAAATATAATATCTTCTGAAAAAGTTAAATTCATTGACTAGTTTTTGATTTAAGCTAATAATATTTGAAGGTTCAAAGGTAATTACTATGTAAAATTTACAACCTCATTTTGGGGAAGGTTTAAAAATCTATAGTTGTAACTATCAAACACTAAAAGATTATCAGACAAAATTTAAAACTTGTTGATAAATTTAAATTTAGTAGAAGGTAGAAAGGGAAATTTGCATAAGATGAGCAGGTTTTTAAGGAGGTATAACTTTTTTCACGGGTAGACTAATAATTTTTGTATATTCATACAAGTTCAGCGGTGTTATTAATTTTAATTTCTTGGTTGTACAATTTATATTCTTTCATTGTTTTATTTTTAAAAAAATTTACCATCCCCGTTATAATTTTTTCTTATTCAATATTTTTTAATTATGTCAGAACGAAACAAGATCATCAAAAGTTTATCTTATCCTCAATATTTCATGCTTCTCTACTGCTTATTTCATGGGTTATATAAGATAATACATAAGCTATTGTCATGTTTTTCAAATTATGGTAGTACTTAGTCGAGTTTCATAATACGTTTCGAGATGCTAAAGATGAGATGCGGCTCTTCTCCACGAAGCTTTATTTGGTATTTCAAAAACGAAAATACTTCAAAAAATAGAATCGCAAACCTTTTTAGATAAGAGGAAAGAATAATAACAATTTTTTTTTATGGTTGAGATAATTACTTTTTATTTTAGTATAGTCCTTAAAGACACATTTTTTAAAAAAATTTTGTGATTATTTTTTTGGTTAATTTGAGGTTTTTTGAGTTCCATTTTTGGGGCACTTTTTTTGCCAGGCTCCAGTCACCGCTATTATTTTCGAAACATTTTTATTTTTTAGCCTTTTTTGTATAAATAATTAATAATATTTAGAAAAGCAATAGTTTTTTGAAATAAAGGTTGTAATATTAAAAATCAGTTTTAAATGCCACGATCGTGGCTCGCTGCACTTCAACGGAAAAGCCATGACCGTGGCTTTAACCGTTGGCCGCAGTCAAAGGGTTAAAAAATCCTGCGTTTGCTTTTGAAAAACCGTTAGTCAATTTAATACGAAGTATTTATTTAACTACGTATTAAATTGATTTTTATTATTGTAATTATAGCTAATTGTTGATAATAAAATCACCACTATCAATAAATCTGTTTTAATTGCCAATTTAATTTATTATTCACAATTTGAACAATTAAAAAAATTATTATAAAATAAAATAAAATATATATAAAATAATATATATAAAATAAAAAAACTGACCTATACAAGTAACAATAGCGTAACTTATCCGAATGGTAAGTTTTTCTTCATACGAGAAGATCTCACGATTCTTGTAAACAGAATTTGTATTAGTAGAGTTTAATAATCGAAATGATAGATTTTCCATGATTTATAGTTAGATGCTTATAAGTAACTCATTTTTCAGAAAGAAAACTAAAAATAAAATATGAAAGATGAATTACCAACTCTAACATCCATGAATCATAAGTATAAATATAATATAAACATAAATTAAGTATATCAAATCGAAATATATATATATATATATATATATATATATATATATATATATATATATATATATATATATATATATATATATATATATATATATATATATGTATATATATATACATATATATATATATATATATATATATATATATATATATATATATATATATATATATATATATATATATATATATATGTATATTTATATATTTATAAGTATTTCTTTAAAATTATACAAATTATATAAAGTGTGTATATAAAACAGTATTGTTATATTATATTACTATAAAATTCTATGATATATTAATAATTACATAATGTTTTGTTTTTAACATCAACTTACCGACTACCTAAAGTTAATCATACAAAATGCTGAACTACGATCAGTTAGTTTTTACTTAAAAGTTAAAATTAGAATTTACGAGATTCTTGACAAGTTTGAAGTAAAAGCTAGACAAATAATAGGGGTGTTGCAATAAGTGTTTTAACATAACGCAATGCATTTCGAATAACAAAGTTAATGGCATTTATATAAGACTTTTTACATAACAGCATTGAAGAGAAGTGTTTTTGTAAATATATGTAGTATGCGTCATGAAATCTTTAAGAAAAATGACAACTTTAAGAAGCATTTTATAAAAAATATAAATTATAACGGCATCAACAAATAATATACAATAATATTAATTACTTTTTCTGATGAATGAATTAATTACATACAAACTCGTTAAATTTTTTTATTTAAAAAACACAACCTCCTTTAAAAAATGTTGTTACAGTAATAAAATAGTTCAAATTAATTGTTAAATCTTTATAGCGAAATTAATATAAGAACAAAATATAATAATTTAATATTATTTAGGAGCGTCATTTTAATTATACTCTACTAATCAAAAGTTTTAAAATAATAGTTTCGTAATTAAAATTCATCAACGTTCCAAACTAACCACTAAATAAGATATCAACAACGAAGGTAACTGTAAAATCAAAATGACGTAAGGTCTACATATTATAGTAAGAAAAACAAGCATTTTTTTAATACTTTTAAGAGCTGTTCAAACTAATATTTGATATAGGGATTGTCCGCCCCTACTATTATATTTTTTATTATATCAATATATAAATGCATTTTTTTATTTCAAAAAAAAAATAATAATTTATTATTACAAAATCGTTCAACAAAAAATTTGAAATTAAATTTCAAAAAGCGAATTATGGGTAAATGCCGTAAAAGATAATTAAAAAACTAATGCAAAACTAATAAATAAACTAATTTATTTTCTACTTGATAATATTTCATGATTAATTTATTCGCAAATTATTGTATTTGCATGTTAAGCTCTTTGCAAAATATCGAAGTTTATAAACTTAAAAAGAAGAAAAATTGAGCTTTATTTTTTTTAACAGCATTTTAATGTATAATAATGTAATGTAAGGGAACGTTCCTAAAACGAACTTTAGGAAGAGTTTCAGCTTATAAATTCTATTTAAAAGCAACATTGATGCAAAATTTCTGAAAACATGGAAGGATATATCGCCAAACCTGATTATACAACAAAGTTGTAAAAAATGAGTTTATGTTAAAAAAAGATTTATGTAGTGTTTTTTTGCTTACACCAATATATTATGATTAAAATTTTAAAAATAAAAATACTTTAAATTTTTTTGGTTTCATACTTTTAATTTTTTTGGTTTAGTGGCTTTTATTAAAGACTTTAATTTGCGTCTAATTATCTCGTTTCAACATATTCGTTGTATAGGCATATAAAGAGTTATAAATTTTGTGCAGAGCGTTCTATGGCAATTACGTGGTTTCTTCTTATTATCAATTTAATTGTAATTATGTGTTAAGCGAATTTTTGTAAAGCCGATTTTTGTAGGTTGCTATTTTATATAAATTGATCTAAAACTTTTGTAAAAATGAGGGAAATTCAGAATAAATAAAAATTAACAGGAAAAAATAGAAGTTTTGCTTGGAGCGAGAAAATTGCAAATTACGAACTTTTTGTAAAACGGAAATTAAATGTTGGTGAGAAAGTATTTTAATAATGTATTTTGGCCGACTTGAAGCAAATGACTTGTCTTGCTAAATTGTCAGAAGAGTCTGTTCAATTAGCGTTTGTCGTTGGATTGCCCGAGGATGTATCATCAAGATTTCGAGCCGTTATGGATCCAATTGATGTTATGTTACCCAAAGTAAGAGCTGCTTTGAATCGTGTATGCGTATTGATGCTAAAGGTGCTGTGTTTCGAAACCAAGCTACAAAAGTTTAGTCAGTGTGTTACAATTGCAAAGGGTTAAATCATATTTTGAGAAACTGTTCCCTTGCAAAAAACTGGCTTCGAAGAACATTTCAATGTTTTAAATGTGGAAATGAAGGACACGTGACTGCACACGAGGAATGTGTGCTATCTCGCTCCTGAACCACGGTGGAATTATTAGCGCATTGTTTATTATTCATCTAAAAGTTAGTGGTGTTTTATCGAATGAGATGGTAAACAGAATGTTCGTAAGACAATCATTAATTAAAAACTGTTGTTAAGAAACTCATAATCCTTCGAAGAAAATAACTTTTGACTGTAAAAATTATTAATAAAATGGATGAGCGGTTGTCTTTATTGAGGTTGATGTTATCCAAGTATGAGATGAAGCTATATTAGCGCGTTTTCAACTGTTTGGAGTTAATATGATCCTTGGAATGAGTTCCATTAAATTACTAGAAGGAGTTTTTATTTTCGTATTTGGAATGGTTAAGTTTAAATTTAGCTCATGCGGAATGGCAGTCTCAAACAAAGATAAAGTCAATAAAATTAAAATTAAAAAACAGGATAATGAAGCAATATTTAATGGTGTCAAATTGGAAGTTAAATGGAAATGGAAAGATGGTGAAGGTCCGACCATTTATTTAACAAAGTTACCCAATACGTCTTACCAAAATATGCAAAAGTAAAATATGAAAACGAATCAGTAGATTGGACCGATCGTAAATGGTTAATTAAATATGACGAAAATAAGATGGTACTTGATCCTTTTATAATTTACTATAAAAATATTTACAATAAAATTTTTTTATAGAACATTATGCGATGTTCCTAAAGTTGAAGTAGAAATGAACACAGACAATGGTCGTGATAACGCGGAAAACCATGTTAAGCAAAGTAAAAGGGTATTAAAGACGAGTCAAGAAGTCTTTCTACTAACAAACGGTGAAGCCAAAAATGGATTCCAATAAACAGGTGCCGTTGCCACAAAGCACTCAAGAACGGCGCATGCACCTAAAATACAACGGTTATTATTTGTAAGATCCTTAATGACCGAGGAGGAGTGTAAAATTGGTGCAGAAAGTCCAAGAACATTCTATAGCAATTACGTGGTTTTTTCTTATTAATAGTTCTTAATTATTTTAATTGTAATTATGTATTAAGCAGTCGATTTTTGCGGGTAGTTATTTTATATAAGTTGATGTAAAGCTTTTGTAATAATAGTGAAATTCAGGTTACAATACCAGATTAGTGGAAAAAAAGAAGTTTTGTTTGGAGCAAGAAAATCACACTTTAATGATAAACTACAACATTTCTTATCGCTTATTTTTTATATAATGCCTTCATAAAGTTACAATAACGTAAAGTTACAATAACGTAAAGTTACAATAACGTAAATATAGTTTTAATTAAGATCTCCATCTCGGAGCACATTCTTACATCTTCCCCTTCTTCTGTAAATGAAATGTTTTACTGTTTGTGTTTTATGTTTTAATACTTCCTCCATAATTCTATAAGACGTCTTTCTCTGTTAGGATATATCTTCAGAATCGGTTCTTGGTGATAGCTTCTTACTTGTGTCGGCATAGTAGCTGTTATTTCCTTTACTGGCAAAATTGATTCGTTCTGGAGGTATTCTTTATCTTTCTCTTCTTTTATTGGTATCGGATTAAATTGTATATCCGTTGGTACTTTCTTCATGTGTGAAGCATTTCGAATTTTTTGAGAATTGTCGACGGGAGATTTTGCAGAGATCATTGTACCATTCTTTGCAGTAATTGTGTAGGGTTTGAACTCGAATGGTGCCGTAATTTTGTTATATTTTTTTTGTTTTATCAGTACTGTATCCCCGATATTTAATCTTGGATTTTTTGCGTGGTATTTTAAATCGTGATATTTTTTTCTGTATAACTGAGCATTTTTTTGTCTCTTTTTGGCTTGATCATTGATATTTGTATCGACCCTTGTTTGGAATGAAAGTATTGTAAAACCTGTAACGCGATTAAACATGAGTGTAGATGGTGGTATTCGGGTTTTGCAATGGGGTGTGGTACGGTAGGAAAACAGGAAGTTGTATAATTGCTTTTTCCAGTCTTTCCGTTCAATGTGTGCTGCTCGTATTGTTTTAATCAGTGGTTTCATAAAGAATTCGGCTTGTGAGTTTGCTTGCGGTCAAAGCGGGGTGATTCGTTTATGTTGAATAGGGTGTCCCAAAAACACACTTTTTTAAAATTTCAATGTGCTCTCAACTGATCCCCATTTTATAGGTCCTAAATAGCTACCAAAATCTTTTTTTGAACTTTTTAATGACTAGAAGTGATAGATGTAAATTCTGAGTTTTACGGTTTTGTACACATATGTGTGTTAAATACAAACTCACTTCTACTAATGTTATAAGTTAAATACAAACTCACTTCTACTAATGTTGGTTGCAAATTGAAATCGAAATCCAAGAATTTTGTTTGTGAAAATGGCGTTTGTACAGATCCTGATAATTCTCGCTTGGTATCTAGGATTAAAAAAATTTGGGATAACGCTGGGATTGGCAAGAAATTTGTGATTTGTGGGTACAATATAAAGACCAAAATCATTAAACTTAATTTAAACTACAAGAAATTGATTAAATTGTCTTCTCTAAACTGGAACAGCAGTCTTGATAAGCAATCAAAGTTAGAGAAAGATTTTCTCACAGAATCCTATCAGCTTTTTGACATCTCGACTAAGAATTTTAAAAAAGATATTCTTGCTGATAGATTGAGAACAGATGATGCCAAGCTGGAAGATATAGAGTAAGTTCATTAAATAACACTTTTTTTAGTAGTGAGATTTGTTTTCCAATAAAAATAACTTAAGTAATAGCATATTATTTCCTTTAAAATATTTACGTTTAACTCTTTACATGGTTTGGTCATCTTCCAAGAAAAACTAGAACAATTATTAATTTATTTATAAATGGCTTAATAGATTTAAATATTTCTTAGTTTTTATGAAGACCAGAAGTTACATAGGAAAGGATATATGGAAACAAAAGTCGATGAAGACTACAGTAGAAGAGTACTGGATGCAAACAGGAGAAAGACCAAGCTAGATAAGTTGAGAGAGAAAGAATTAGAGAGACAGAAAAACTTAAAAGATATCAATGATGTTTTGTTGTCACATGACTCCATGACAAAAGAGATTCAATTCAGCAGTGAGGAAGAAAAGTCAAACGAGGACTCT